TTCTATGTTTTTGAAATGCACACTGGACCCTGACAACAGCACACCAACATTGTCACCAACAGTGACTCTGATTTTTCATAAAGCATAGCCACACCTTCTATATTTGGAGATGTGCTCTGGATTCAGAAAACAGCACCTGACATTGTCACCAATAATGAGTATTTTTTTCTATACTTTATTACTATTTTTCACTTAAAAGTGCCCATTTCTATATTTAGAAGTCTGCCCTGGACCCTGAAATCCGTCTCCTGCTCATCAGTTATGTTATTTATCATTTGGATCAATCCTGGGACTACTTCTGTCTGAAAATCCTCAGGAATACACCCCCACAGGACTCACAATTTGGCTGGCACATCAGCCAATTACAAAAATCCTCAGGAATCCTGCAGGAATCTGTGGGGGACAATAAAGACCTCTACTAAGGATTGACTTACTGAGTTGTTCATAGATGACAAAAACACATACACTAACATTATTTTTGAAGTCAGTCTGTGAAAGTGTATGAATGCAATACTGTCCCTCAAAAATCCCGTTGATGCCACTTCAGTCACCCATTTTTGGGTACCTATGAGGTACATCAATTCCTTGATTTAGGGTACCTTGGGGGTACCCATTCCAGGGTGGTATATGAGCTCCATACCAATACCATGGTACCATGGCATGGAAAACCCATACCATACCCCACTCATACCAATACCATGTTACCATACCATACCAATACCATATCACCATACCATACCATGTCCTGTTATACCATACCAGATGGTATGATGTCACTTCATACCATCATACCAAAGCTGACATAAGGTGTCTGGGGTCCTTTTCCAAAATATATAAATTATTTCTGCAGGCTGCAATACTGGTCCATTGGGTGCCATTTTTTGTGGGGTGGTTCTCCAGGTCTTTCCTGAGATAGTAGGCTACAAATTGAGGCCAGATAGTCCAAACCATCTATTGAAAATGAGTTTAAATAGGCTTTATCCCAGCTTTCTCATGCATCCAAAGCTATTTAATGATACATATCTTTCCCAATCCTGTCTATTAGAACAATATTCATCCAAATCAAACAAAACCACATCTATTGTGATGAAGTGGTCATAGAGAAGAAAAAAAAAGTGGAAAGGCTTTCAGGTTTTTGCTAAGATTTCCAATTCCAAGTGGAGGCCAGATAGTCAATTTAAAGTTCAGTTCAATTGAGGGTTTTTTCATTCCTGAAAAGCCATTAATATGAATGCTTTCAATAATAGGTTAAATATACTTTGCCCAGTAGGGCCAATCAGACAGTCCTGCCTACTTACATAGCATACACATATAGTATGGCCAACAACACCATCATATAATCTCAATTTTTTTAAAAACTACATATGTTGGAATCAAGTATTGTTGTCCTGAGTGTTTGGCCAAAGTCTTCTTTGTCATAATATTTGGTCCAATTTATTGAAGCTGAGTGAATCTGTCAATCCAAAGTCTTGTCAGAGTCTTCATTATCAAAATATTATACCATGGTATTGTAATCCCATGTTGCACTCTCATACCATACCATACCATGGTATTGCACTCCCATAACATACCATACCATGGTATTACACCCTCATACCATATCATGGTATCACACCCTCATACCATACCATACCATGGTATAGCACTCCCATACCATGCACCCTCATACAATGCCATGGTATTAGGAACCATAATGTATTTTTATGTAGGCAGAGGAAGGCAGAAAACCCTCATTTCGAAGTTTGTTTGACTGAAGCAAGGCTAAAATTTTGTAGTGTCCACTTTGATGTGTGCACTATTTCCTGATTGGGAAAAGTGTTACACTTTTTCTGCCCCACCTAATGTCAGGCACAGTGTGCAGTTAGGTTGCGAACTGTTTCCCACACTCTTTGGGCCACTGGAGTTAGTGGCTAGCTTAGTGTTATCATTGTTCATGACAATGTCTGCACTATTTCCAAATTGGGCCATTTCCTAATTGGGAAAAGCCTTACACTTTTTTCTGCCACACCTAATGTCAGGCACAGTGCACATTTAGGTCAGGAACTGTTTCCCACACTCTTTGGGCCACTGGAGTTAGTGGCTAGCTTAGTGTTGTCATTGTTTATGATGTTGTTCGCATATTTCCCAATTTCATTCCGGGGTGGTATATGAGCTCAATACCAATACCATGGTACCATGGAATGGAAAACCCATACCATATCCCACTCATACCAATACCATGTTACCATACCATACCATGTCATCTCATACCATACCAAATGATCTCATACCATACCATACCATCATACCAAAGCTGACAAAGGGTGTCTGGGGTCCTTTTTCAAAATATATAAATTATTTCTGCAGGCTGCAATACTGGTCCATTGGGTGCCATTTTTTGTGGAAGGGTTCTTCAGGTTTTTGCTGAGGTATTAAGCTACAAAAGGAGGCAATATAGTAAACTGAATCCTTTGAAAATTAGTTCAATTGAGCTTGATCCCAGATTTTGGCATGCATAATACTGGATCCATTGTGGTGATGTGGTATTTGAGAAGCAAGACAACAAGAAATTGTGTGTATTATCTATCAGTCCTAAACACTACATAATACAGTTGAGTGCAAAAAGAATGAAGGTTGGTTCATTTTTCTGGTTCTTTCTAAGAATCTATTGTACCTCAAATATATTTGTGTAT